AAGAGTTGCTGATGAGTTCACGGAGGAAAATCTCCTTGTTGCTGTAGAAGGTATTGATGATGAGACTCAGCAACTGGTTGATCTCCGCCTGGAAGGCAAACGTTTCAGCTTCCGCCATTGCCGAATCACGAAGAAACAATCAACCGAATGTTTTCACGGAGAGAGAACGATGGAGAGGAAGCAAGTGCGATTCCCCAAATGCAAGGAGGGGAGTTTAAATAGCGAAGCGTGTTAGGGTTTCTAGATCCTTCTAAAGGCAAACGAAAAATGCCATTTCCATTTTTCTTTCCTTGTGTTTGACCAGCCAATATAGCTAACGGGTCTTTGACGTTTAGGCTGTTTTCCTTCTAGAAAATTCCACATAAATTTGATCGCACCCTTTTCTTTATTAGATTTACCATTGCCTTTAATAAACAGATTATTCAGTGTTAAATTTTAAAAAAAAACTTGAAAAATTTTAAATTAAATAAAATAGTAATTAAACACTCGTAACTAATATCTTAATTATATTTCCTACCACATTGTTACGTTTTAAATTAAATCTAAACAAATAAATTAAAAAATTTATCCGACCCATGGAGTCAGTCGATGTCCGATCTACAGAATCAATTGGTGTCTGATCTGAAGGATTGTGCGATGGTTTTCCACTTTAACCAAAAAAAAATTAAAAAATTAGGTTAAATCGATATGGATCCAGTGATTTATGGGTCTAATGACGATGAAATTTTGACTTTCGATTCCGATTCATATGTCAGAGAATCCATATCCATCCACAGCCATGGCTGAGAATCCCTCACGTCCGACAACTCATCTCTCGGCTACGACTCTCACGCCTCGTCGTTTTCTGTCATCTCTCTTTATTTGTGTCACCCTATCGTCTTTTTTTTTTTTATCGTAATTTACTTTACAATGCCGCCTATATGACTTTAGTTGTTTTTTGGTTTAGCTATTTTTTTTATAATTAAAAAATACATCATTTTTCTCAATTACATCTACCAAAAATATTTCTTTCCATACTTAAATTTGAAACGTGAAATAAACTCAAATTTAGATTGATTTAGCTTTTTTCATCATTATGAGTGTTATCTCTATGCCATAATTTTTTTAAGTATAACATGATTCACTTGTAAAATTGGTAACCAAAGGGGGAAAAAATCCGATACCATGTTCTAACAAATCCATACAGAAACATCAAAGATTTTTTTTATTTAAAAAAAGTCATGTTCGTAGAACTAATCGACCCTCACGGCGTACAAAACATAGCAATACTCCGACAAGGAATCCTCGCCGCCTTCATTTTCATCGACGCCGCCATTAAAGCTAAGACTTCTACCTTCAGACACAAGTTTCTGCTTGAAGACAAACAACCCACAAGAAGAACCGCAACTCCCGAACAGCCAATCGTGAATATCCCAATAGATCTCCACGGCAACACCTTCTTTCACCGTCACGACCTCATTCCCTCTGAATCTCCAGTTCAAGTTCATCACCCTCATCGCCGCCACTCCGTCCACCGTTATCCACATCTCCGGCTCCTCCGGCCCTGACAACGACGTCTCTATCACCACCTCGTGCTCTCTCCGTCCCGTCCCGTCGAAGGCCGTCCGCGTGTAGAACACGCGCTTCCCGTACACGTGCTCTTTCTTGCACACCAAGGCAGCTTCCCTGGCCGAGGGTCTCTTCCTCGTTCTCTTCATGGCTTCGTTCACCAAGTCGCCTATTGTCAGAACGACGACGTCTTGGGACACGAGGGCGACGTAGAAACCCGAGGAAGGTTCCGGAACGTTTGAGAATTTGGCTTGTCGGAAATCCCAGTACACATCGATTCTTGTCCCGTCGGCTTCTAGGGTTTTCAGCCCTTTCTTGCCCCAAAACGACCAGCCCGAGAGGTCGATTTTCACAGTGTGATGATTCCTATCGTCTTTTGGATTCTCTATTGAAACGGATAAGGAATGGGAAGAGATGGATTTAGACCAAGTGGCCACGACATTCAGGGTAATACCTGCGATTTCAACTATGTAGATGAACGTCACAGAGCTAGACTGATCGATCATTCTCTCCGAAAAAGCTTCCTTTTTTCCTTCTTCGATCTTTATCGATTCAGGCAAGGCCTGAAAACTTCGAACACGAACAGGTTTGGATCAGAATGGTTAAGGTTCATCATCATTTGCAAGTTGCTGGGCCAAAACTCGCCGGGATTCATACGAGACAGACGTCCAGGAGATATAAGAAACAAAACCAGAAACGAAGGAGAAAGAACAGCTCTGAGCTGAAAACCTGAATTGATCGGTGAAACAAACAAAACCGAAGATTTTTGTTTTGTTTGGGATTTACTATGAATAGTTTACTTACTTCTGGTGGAGAAGCCTATCTTATGATGAAGAGTACCTAAGTTTGGATCGTCTGGAAGCCTTCAGCTACGGCTTCTGATCTATATTTAGTCTGTTGATCATCAATAACAATGTAAGACACTCAAATAAAATCATTAATACAATATAATGATCATCACATCACAGCTTTGATCTCTCGCAGTCTCAGATCACAGAGGCACTTAAAAGGACACGACAAAAACATAGAAAAGACCCGAAATTTTAGTTTGTCTGTACAAAAGAAAAACGGCTTTAACATATCAAACTGATTTTTCAAAAAACTTTTTTTTTTTTTTGGAGATCTTTCTATGGTAAAACCAAAAACTTCCCACGAGGCGTTGAACGACTTCTCCTGAACTCTGGCACGGATATATTGTTGTTACCTTCTTTCGCCTGATGAGTAGTTAAGCCGTTTGAAAGCTTGTTCTCGAGTTTACCTGTGAACGAAGAAGTGTCCCCATGGTACATCGGCCTACAAATCAAATGTAGTGAAGAGGTTATATTTATTAGGACTGAAAAGATTTTTTCTCGAGTTATCTTTACCTTGGTTCGAGGGTTTGGGAGGTTCGGGGGAGATTTCTTTGAAGCTTCTTCGACTTCAAAGCATTGCTCAGAGTCGATTCACCGAGCAAGTGCTCGTTGTCCGTCTCGGATGAGTCACTCTTTAAGGTTGCATCTGATTTTTCACCAGCAAACATGTCAGCGAACAAGCTGATTCCCACGTCGAATTTCTGAAATCTTGACTGGTGGTTGTTCCCCTTTTGGGTATTGTCGTTCATACCGGTTTTCGCATCGGAATCAGCCTCGGAATGCAGGGTGATACCAACATCAAGTTTCTGAAACCTACCGGGGATTTGGTGCTTTGGCCTCGGTTTACTGCACTCGGGTTTTGATTTCCTCACACCGCCTTGGCGTATGTTAAGAGCCTGTCTCAACTGTTCTTCTTCAGCTTCGGGGAAAAGTTTCCGAGAGCTGATCTTCTGGATATTGTAGAAGGTCTCTGAGATGTTACTCTGCATCGATGGGGGGTTCACCGGGACTGTGGAAAAGGATTTGGTTACAGGTACTCTGGCCGGAAAAGGCGTTCTTGAAACCGGCTGGTTTTCACTAACGTCAGGCTTGCTCCTGCTGCTTTTGATAACGGTGCCTCTATCCGTGGATAAAGATCTCCTGACAGGAGGAGAGGATGATCTCGGATTTAATCGTTCTTCTGCTAGATTGAGGATCTTTGGAACTGCCTCTTTGTTTCCGAGTGCAGAAGGAAACCGTGACCTTCTCTGCTTGCCAGTAGAGCAGCTTCTTGCCTGAAATTTAGGTTCAAAAACTGGTTGAGGTAACTATCTATGTTCCTACTTTATCGAAAGAAAAAAAATCCAAGACTGTTTGTTCTTACCTCAGAATTTCTGAGATTGTCGTTTGGTTGTGGACTTGCATCAACCTTTGAGCTACCGTTGTTACCAGTTCTTGGGATGTGGAAAGGAGAAACTGCTCTTGCTCTCTGGGACTCGGTTGTGTTCCGGATGCTTCCTGCTCTCAATTGCTCCAGCTCTGCTTCCTTTTTCTCCAAAGCTGATTTCAGGTTGAATATCTGAAAATGTAGGAAGAATATTTTTTTTAGTTTTTTTTTTCTCTTTGCAAAATGAAAAAGAGATGGATTCTAAGCATACCTCTTCCTTAAGATCCCGGATTTCGCCGGTTTCTTTGTTTGATTTTGCTGCCCCAAGTTCAATGGAAGCAACCCTTTCAGCAAACTTAAGGGTGCTTATTGTTTCCCCTATGGCATTAACTTCGGGGTTTATGTGCACAAACATTAAAGTTTTCGCTTGCCCACCTGCAAATAATTCAGATATATTAGCAAAGAAGCCAAAGCAACACAGTAAGTGACTCACAAAGGCAGCTGATCATGTGTACCTAAAGAGTCCTGCAGCACTTGCGTAAGCTTGCTATTTCTGTAGGGGACATGGGCACTCTTCTGTGCAAGCGCTGAGATAACATCTCCTAACGCAGACAATGATCGGTTAATGTGTTGTGCTTCTTTCAGTCTCTCACCCACAGCCTCGGATTTTTCCACTCTTTCACTTCCAGCCAAATCCACTAGAACGCTTTCCCATGGACATGAACGGTTAAGACACTGAAGCAGAATTGGTAATTCTCAATATATATATAGTTCTAATGGCACTGCTTGATCATACTGCAAAGATAGACCTTAAGTTTAAAATGAGTATGATGATTACCTGTGAGAACGGCTACTTCTCTCATTCAAAGCAGTGGCCCCAACAGCACGGTTCTTTTGGCCAATCTTCATCAAATCAAGAACATCTTGAGTACAAGAAACCGGAACCAGGCTCGCATCAGGCACATTAAGACCGTTGAGTTGAGAATTATTCCGTATGTCTAATGTGAAAAATAGTCAAGGATAATTGAACTTCTAGAGGAAAAACACGGGGAGATGTTATGGAAATATAACCTGGTAATTAGATAAAGCTCGTAAATCTTTTTAACTAGAAAGGATATCTTCTGGAAGAACCATCAGTGACTAGTAGATCTCTAACTTGTTCATTGTATATTTCAATCATCTGGACTCCGATTTCATGCTTTGTTATGTGTGTCCTTGCATTTGAGAACTGGAAGAGATCACGTAGGGCTCGGTAATTCACGCCCCATGTTTTCTCGCTCGTCAAATCTGGCCCACTCTGGCAAGGGAAAAGGGAGAAACTCATATATATTCAAGTCCATTGAAAAAATTTATTTTGCAGGTGTAAGGCAGGTCTCAAATAAACATACCATTGTATAGGTTTTCCCTGAGCCGGTTTGCCCATATGCGAAGATGCAAACGTTAAATCCATCCAGAACAGACCTTATTAACGGTTGAGTGTCAACGTATATTTGCTCTACAAGGAATAATTTACGAATATGATTGACAAGATAGCAACCGGAAAGATAATAATATTGGGGAACCCCAAAGATACGCATGTCGCGTATGGGATCTCAGAATATCATCAAGATCACAAACATAAAGTACATGCAAATGGTTCTTTTTGACGTCAGAACAGAAGAAATCATACCTTGTGAGACATTTGGTGCCAGTATTTTGTTAAAAGTGAAGATTTTCCTTGCTTCTTTCCCCTGCTTAAAAGGATTGACGATCATGATATTTCCATTTTCTCCAATGTAATCTACCGTCGATTGCATGTTTGTCTGTCCTTGTAAGAAAGGTCTCACTCTACAGTAGACCCTGATAGTCCCTACAGAGAGAGAGTATCAGTAAAGAAACTAAGATTACTAGAAATTCAGATGTGAGTAAGTATGCAAAAGATGGTACCTTTAAGGTCTTGGACCTCATTGTAAAGCGAACGATTTTCTTCCAAAACCTTGTAGTATGACGAAGATGTCACTTCGAGAGACTTTACATGGTGAGCTGCCATAGAGGATATCAGATGTTTACCAAGTAATCCTGATCTCTAGAGAAAAAGAAATACAGGATAGGGAAAATTCCTCACCTATCCTGAGAAGCTCTTCCTGCCACTCTGACTGCATATGTTTAACTTGGAATCTTAATTCCCCAAGAAATGTTTTTGCTTCCTAAAATTCAAGGAAAAGAAGAAAAGCAATGTATCTTGTAAAATTGATAGCAATGAACTCAGAGAACCGAGGAGTGCAAAATGCTTTTGCAACTAACACAACCAAGAATAACTTCTGTCATTTGAAGAGAAGGGGGGATTCTACCTCTAGCTCTTTCTGTTGCCAATCAATAACTTCGGCATTACCAGAAAATTCACGGACACTTGGTCGAGCATTCTCAAGTTGGCCACCACATACACAAAACTTTGAGAACTCCTTTGAAACCAAACCTTTTCTGTGCCCAAGATAACTTAAGACAGCTTCCAAGAATTCTGATTTTGATAGAGAGCCAATATCACATTTGAGCACTTTCTTCAGAAACAAACCAAGCTGCGGACAGATATCAAAACTAGTCATTAAGTTCCGAAGATGACCAACACTTTGACCCACTCACACAAAAAAAAAAAGGAAAATCTGTGAAGAAAGATGCACAAAGAGCACAATGAACAGTACCTGAGTCCCCTGAGAAACTAACATTGCCGAGAAATCCTTAACTACCTTGTTGAGCAAGGTATCTATCACCTACAAAATTTCAACCAAAATCATAACAGGTGACAGAAAGATTATTCTTGTAAGCTTGGATAATTTGATATTGTGGTCAACGTGTCTTTTTAACTGCCTTGTATATCATAGTTCATAGTGTTGCTTAAAAACTAGATACAATTAAAGAGAACTCAAACATCTCTTACCTACCATTGCATTCAAAGGTAGTTCGTTGATCCCATCACTCTCCTTGAGGTAAGCCTGTAGAAGCTGAAGCCCAAAATGATCGAAAAGAAAAGCCAAGGCATTGGCAGTTTCAGATTCCTCGGCCGCAATCTCGTTAGAAAGGTGAAGGAACTCCAAGATCTGCTCATATTGAGATGACTCGGATTCATCCAAAGAGACAGACTCATCGGTGCTTTCACCACCGAGCACAGACGAAGGTGACCCTTTCGGATGGAAAGATGTAATCCTAACAATCCCTCCGTATCTCCACACTCCGATCCCACCCGATTGTTTCCACTCATAGAATCCCTTCAAACACAATATGCAGTCTACTACTTTGTTCGACGAACCTCCCTGTTAATGAAGCCATGATTAACAACAGGAAAAAATTAGCAAAAAAAAAAACAATTAGAAAGATTTTTCTTTCGTCCAAGTGTCGAAAACAAACCTAAAATCTCTTCTCTTAGAGAACAAGTTACTTAGTGCATAAATTCCAAGGATCGCCAAGTAGCAGTACAAGTGAATTTCCAGATTCTGTTTTATGCTATCTTCGTGTAAAGCCAACATAAATCAAAATATACAACCTTGCTTATACATGATCAGCTAACTATTTTCGATGAGTCTATTGTTCGACATTAAAATGAACAGGTTAGTCGTAATCGAAATAACAAGACACACTGCTTTAACCAAACAATAAGCTTACATGAAATCTATACTGTAAGACTAAGTTCTAACAGACCGATTCTTTTGAATCATTAAATTCAACAGAACATGAAATCTTTCTGTCAGCATCTAAAACCACACGTCAAGCTGAGGAACAACGAAAAACCTTAGGCACTTGATCGTGTCCTATAAAAAGCATTGAGAGAAGTTACAAACACAGAACTCAAGAAGGCAACAAAGATAACGAGCAGAACCTTTTCCAGATCAGAAGCTTCGAAGGTTAGAAGCTGCATATCCTTAACCGCTGTGAGAAAATTCCTCATGTTCTCGAAGTACTGGATTGCAGACTGAGCCGCTGCCTCGGCATACTGAACCGCTGGCATCACAGGGGT